TTCTTTCGATACTCCCGCCATAATCAAACTTGGGTCACTTACGCTGATGTTGTGGCGGGGTACGTTGACTCTGCGGAGAGCTGGTCGTCTTTTGTCGCTAAGGTCCGTGCAAACAAATCGAAGGCGTACAACATCTTTAACACGACCACGCAGGAGGAGCATAACGACCGTGTGAGATACGCGGTCCGACCCACAACAGTTGCAAAGGGTAACAAGGTCTTTCTACTTGTGGGGGGCTATCATCAGAAGTATGATCCTTCATCGAAGAAGTGGATTGTATCCTCACAGAGTCTTGATTTGCTTGTGGGTGAGGCCACGCAAGATAAAGTCATCCAATGGGGCAAATCCACCTCGCTTGTGCCACAGATCGAACCATCTATTAAACAACTTGACTTGGACCAGTTTATTGGTTGTGGTGGCTCAGGCGTTGTGATGGAGGATGGCACGCTTCTGTTTCCTGTGACGGCGAGGAAGATAGGAGACAACAAAGCTGTGTCCATGATCATTTATTCGAAGGACGACGGCAAAAATTGGGTGCTTCCACATGGGATGCTCCCCGTACGGTGCACTGACCCCCTCATCGTTGAGTGGGAGCAGGGGCAGCTTGTCATGGTTGCCAAATGCAATTTTCTTTTAATGGTGTTTGAGTCGAGGGACATGGGGGCAACGTGGAGGGAGGCTGTCGGGACACTGACACGCGTGCATCCCAGGGTTTTTCCGAACTCTTTGCAAACAACTGAGAGAGTGGAGTCCATCACCACTGCGACCATTGCTGGAAAGAAGGTCATGCTGTACACTCAGAAAGGGATTCTCCGTGATGACCCGTTGCAAGCCACCGCGCTCTACCTTTGGGTCACTGACAACAACCGCACGTTTCACGTCGGGCCCATTTCCATGGACCCTTACACGACACCGACGTCTGGCAACACCCTGCTCTATTCGAAAAATGCGTTGTACTTTTTACAAGAGAGGGGCGCTTTCAGGGCAAGCAGCCTGTTTCTTGCTCGTCTAACGGAACAGCTGAAGACGATCACGTCCGTCTTGGAGACTTGGGCAAAACTGGACTCCTACCTCTCCGAGTTGTCGGTGCCCACGGCCGGTCTGGTTGGATTTTTGTCGGATGCATCGGGTGAAGGAACGTGGAACGACGCGTACCGTTGTGTGGGTGCAACTGTGAGGAATGCAACGAAGGTCGAAAATGGCTTTAATTTCACGGGGTCGGAATCATACGCCATGTGGCCCGTGAACATGTGGACGCATCACTACGTGCACAGGGTTGTGAATTGCGGGTTCACGCTTGTGGCGACGGTGACGATTCATAAGGTTACGAAGGAGAGCGTTCCTCTGCTGGGTGCGGGCCTGGAGGACAAGGGAAACACGAAGTTTGTGGGGCTGTCGTACACGCCGGCGAACGAGTGGGGTACAGTCTTCGACGGTATCACGAGAACAATACACAACAGCACTTGGAGGCCGGGGAAGGAGTACAAAGTGGCGCTCATGCTGCAGGGCAACAAGGGCTCCGTGTACGTGGACGGCGTGCTTGTGGGGAATACTAACAAACTACCACCCCTTAAGTCACGGAGGCGTGATATCTCTCACTTTTACTTTGGTGGCGGCGAAAACAGCAGTGTGACAGTAAAGAACGTCTTTTTGTACAACCGCCGACTAAGTGAAGATAAGCTCAAAGCAGTTGGCCAGTCTGATGTATCTCGGAAAAGTGCAGGTGGCAGCTCCGATGGATCCGAGCAACGTGCAGGTGACAGCTCCACGCGTGCGGATGTGTCTCGGCTGCTACTTTTGCTGTTTGTGGGGCTA